CTCACAACACTCCAAAAATAACATGACTTTCTGAAGCACAATTTAAAATGTATGCTGTTTAAAATCTCAAATTAGATCTATTGTCCATCTATATTTTGATTATTGTTTAATGGGAACTGTCCATAATCAAAGAGTCATTCCACTTCAGACTGAGAAAGTCAGTCAGCGAATATCAGGACATTCTGATGTAACATTTCAAGATAAAAGACCTTTGAAATGTCATATATGAGCTATCGTCCCGCTGTTTTTAGATAAGAATGAACTACTGGATGTTGATTTATTCTATTGGCTTCATATCCAGTGTTGGGTTGTAACGGAATACATGTAACGGCGTTACGTAATCAGAATACAAAAATCAAGTAACTGTATTCAGCTCGCGTTACATTTGAAAAACGAGTAATCTGATTACAGTTACTTCTATAAAACAGCTGTGGGCAGCAGATACTGTGAGTGTCACGGACATGAATTCATAGATCAAGGCAGACTGGTGCACAGTGCACACACTCTCCTGTTTTCCCAATCCGGTGCTTAAACAAATATAGCTCTACACCCCTGGCTGAAATGTCCTTAAAATGAAGTCCGAGTTCGACATTTTAATTCATGTCCTGCCAACACTGGCAGGACAGAAGGCGACACGCCCGTTCTAAGCCGTGTCCCTCACTCCTCACATCCCAAGCTGCATCCCCAAAAAGTGTATTATGTTGTTACATCGTTTCAGATGTTATGTTTCAGTTGTGCTCTTGATAAGCCATTAAAACAGTAAAAACACGTTCAGTTTCCTTTTGCTTTTTGTGTCTCCTGTTCACCAAAACACACCCATCTGTGATAGAAAAAGAAAGTAATCCAAAAGTAATCTGATTACTTTACTTTTTTAAGACACGTAACTGTAACTGTATTCGGATTACTTTCAGAGCCATGTATTCAGTAATCAGTAACTGATTACATTTACAAAGTAACCCTCCCAACCCTGTTCATATCGCAATATATTCCAGAATTCTGAAATGCAAAAAATGTCCCACATTAGGGCAATTCACCCTACTTAACCCCAAATAAAAGAACCCAATAAAAACAGTTGTTAAATAATAGTGAAGTCACGTTGTAATAACAATAACTCATCTCTCGGTTTGAGTGTTCTTTTTCTGCTTTGCCAAAAGCCACTGTGTCAAGTGTCTAGTGACTATTTCTCTTAGCGGATGCATGTCAATTTAAATCAATACATACAACTATTTTTTAAATCAATAAAAACATTTTCTAAATCCATAAAAGCATTTCAATTAATATTGGGAGTCATATCGTTACTTTGTTGAGAATGTGGCCATGTAATAAGCGGGATAATTTGCATCGACTTGGTCATTGTGGGGAAAAATAACACCCAGGGATCAAGATCAGGGATCAAGCTACGCGTCGGGATCCTGATCTGCCTGACAAGGCTCCATTAAAATATAAATATTTTTAGTGAATTACTGAGTTTAGGCACGTTAATAACGTTTTAATGAAGTTGAATACAGAATATTCATATTTGTCAGTGATTTCATGTCAATTCGGCGAACATAAACATAAATGATCGTGGTGAAGATGATGATTAAATTAGGATTAAAAATCGAGAGCCGGCTGCATTTCCTCTCGTTCGTTTTTTTCGACTAAACAACATTATTTTGTTAAATAACAACATGGTGATGTTTTGTAAATGATTACATGTCTCTTATTTAGCACAGACTATGATCCTATCCGTGACATATGGATCTTAACAAAGATACGCTATACAGTAGTACCAGACATATTGGTATCTGTATCGAAGTTGATTTCACATGAGCTCCAGTGTGGAACCCCACTGCACCCCCTGGTGGATCAATGATCCATTGCAGCTGGCTTCACAATAATTACATTTATTTATCACAGGGGCGGTCTCAAGTCAGACTGGGCCGTGCACGGGCCGTTCACGGGCCGTTCACGGGCCGACCACGACCCTCGCGTTTCAAACTGTCCTAAATTAGCTGCTACATCTGTAAGGACACACCAAGCTGACACCAAAGAACTGACACAGACGGACCCGACTGTTGTGTCGCCTCGCGTCTCCTGCGTCTTGGCCAACAGTCGCACTGGAACACACCGCAAAGACTTCAGCCGACGGCCAAGAAGCACGTACGAACTGCGCATGCGTGAGTGGCAATAACTCTCCTTACCAGCAGGCGGCGGTAGTGTGTATTCGTCATTCAAAAGAGGCAACAACCGGAAGACAGACTGCGTGATACACCGAGAGAAGAACAGACTGCGTGATATAAACAAACAACAAATAGCGTGTGCGTTCCATTTTCACTCTACAACGAGAAGCTCATGGGGCCTTCCCGAACCTGTGTCGAGAGCTGGAGTTAAATGAAATCTCAGATTTGCCTTCTTAATAGTTTGTTTGGGTCCATCACTTCCGTTTCGCTTCTCATGCACTGATTCGCTAGCTGAACAGCCTATGGCCGATTGCCTACTGATTCGACATGTTGAATCGGTAGGTTTTCGGCCAAAAAGGTGTCGGCACGGCCGAAAAGACGAGACGGTGCGGGACACACCAATCTGAGTAGGGCGACAGGACGCTCATCGTCGGCCTGACATCCATCGACGGCCAAAATCGGCTTGGTGTGTCCGGGGCTTTAGGGATAAGGTGAGAAGTTCAGTCATCCGGGAGGGACTCGGAGTTGAACCGCTCCTCCTTCACTTCGAAAGGAGCCAGTTGAGGTGGTTCGGGCACCTAGTAAGGATGCCACCTGGGCGCCTCCCTAGGGAGGTGTTCCAGGCACGTCCAGCTGGGAAGAGACCGAGGGGTAGACCTAGGACCAGGTGGAGGGATCATATCTCTTGGCTGGCCTGGGAGCACCTTGGAATCCCCCAGTCAGAGCTGGTTGATGTGGCCAGGGAAAGGAACGTTTGGGGCTCTCTGCTGGAACTGATACCTCTGCGACCCGACCACGGATAAGCGGGAGAAGATGGATGGATGGATGGATAACTATGTCAATGCATGTGTATATTTATTTATTTATCTATTCCACTGCTTATCAAGGGGACTCTGGTGAGTGCAGAAAAAACACAGCGAATGAAAGAAAAATTGCATTTTTGACTGAAAATTATTGGCAATATGTAATATTACTCTTGTACAGTACTTATATCAAATTGACTTAATTCTGTTAGCCACGCGTGTGTTCACTGTTCACTGACTCCGGCTCTGTTGGGAGGGTAGTGAAGTGGAACAGTAGTGATGTCAATTCCAGTCAGTGAGCATTGTGAGGAGATATGCTCACTTCTCTTCACAGTGCATTCTGGGAATTTTCTAGGGAGCTGAACATGGAGCGAGCATCAGGACACTCGGTTCACTACCAAGGTACCAGTTGGAGTCACCATTCCAAATGATGATAAAAATAAACAAAACACCCTAATTTTCATCAAAGTGTTTCCTGCTCTACAAAACGAAACTCATATGGCAACATTTCTGAGTCATGCAAAGCCGTTCCCCTCCCCCACCAAAGCCAGGCTTATCTCCTCTTGTTGTTGTAATTGTCCACAGATAGCCTCACGTTACAGGTTACAGCAGCATATTGAACTGCTCTTATCAACTGTGGTTCCAGGTTTGTTTGATAGCATTGAAGTCAGATAGAAGAGTGAGTCACTGTGGTGATATTAACCAATGAGGTCAGGATTGTTTTATACATTTCAAGAAAAGTGTTGCAGAAAGAGGACGTTTCCGGCACCTTTACTGTAAATACCAGTTTTAATTTGGATTGGGTTCACCCACATGCTTAGAAAGCATCAGGGAAAGCTTCAGGGAATAGATGATGATATGCTCACCTCAGGGGAGTAAGCCGTGACCCTGTGACCAACTGATGCAATACAGCAGGGGTACTCAAACTTTTTTATTAAAGGTCCACTTGTGAACTTTATACAAGGTCACTGGTCCGGATCGGTAAAGTCACCCCCCCCCGGAGCGGAGCAAAGAAGCTGAAATTAAGAAAATGTTTCTTACGGCGCTCTATGCATGGGGCCCCCTTGAGGGGTTTTGCCGACATGTCGTTGCAGTAAATTAAAGGGTGTTTCATGTTGTCGTTGCTGTGGACCTTCTTAATCTACCTTCTTTTGGGGCCCCCTTCTGGTCCAAGCACTTGCCTGTCGGCAAACGGCGCCCCTGTAATATACACACACACATTCAATACATACATACAGTATGATGGCTTGAACTAGTGGGAGAAATGGCACTGTTTGTCTGTAGCCAATGCCTTGAACCTCGGCAAAAAAGGCATTAGAAGCATTAGAAAGTCAAGGTAAACTTGCGGTTAACTTGCGGTCTGCAATGCGTGTCACGCTCGCGCACACAAGTACATATATATGCACGTTCATTCTCACAATGCGTCAGACACAAGACGCACGTACATTCTTTTATTTATTTTTTTTTTTTTTTTTTTTTATTTATTTTATTTTTTTAATAATGGGACACAGGGTTCGGTCCGGATTGATTTGCAGTTCGGTCCGGATCCGGACCTTGGTCCGGAGTTTGAGAAGCCCTGCAATACAGCCTCTGTTAGTGTAGTAACGAGTAGAGCCGCTTTATAAATATATGGTCACATGCTCCTGAAAATAGTTTATCCTGTTCGGTGCAGAGACAACGTGAGCAGATTTATGCTCCTTGGTAGAACAATGCAAAGCTACACTTCTCATATTCACCTATGTATCCTGAATGGATCATTTAACATTCAATGCATTTCAATTCATGCACTAATAAAAGTACTTTCAGAACATTCACAATTTTAAAAACCTATACTGAGAGCAACAATTAATTCCAATCTCATGTCCTCATGTAAATATCTGCACATTACCATGTATTTATATTTGTTTTTTATAATTTTTGACAATTAGCATCCAATTTGGCTCATCATGTAAATGTGTATTCGGCTATCTGTTGGTTACCTCAGCTTCCATAAAAATGTCCCCTGAGTGAAACGTCTTGTTGTCTGTGTCTGCAGGACTACCGTGTGAACATCTTCCTCCGGCAGCAGTGGAATGACCCCCGGCTCGCCTACGCTGAGTACCCCGATGACTCTCTGGACCTGAACCCCTCTATGTTAGACTCCATATGGAAACCAGACCTGTTTTTTGCCAATGAGAAGGGGGCCCACTTTCATGAAGTCACTACAGATAACAAACTGCTCCGGATATTTAAGAATGGGAATGTTTTGTACTCTATAAGGTAAGTGTACAGCCCTGTTGAACTGGTGGGGGGCAGGGGGGCATCATTTTTATTCTCTTGAAAATGTTAATTTGAATGCACTGAGAAGCTATATTCATGGCTCAAGGAGCAGTGAGTAATGTGAACACGTGGAAATGCACTTTTAGCAATTTCATGGCTGGAGGCACACAGTGCAGTTGCTAACACGATGGGATATGGAGGAATGCATTATCTGTGGAGTGAAGACATCAGAATACTGTTTGATGCTTTGATCAGAAACATTACTGGAGAATGTATTTGTACTTTGTTCAAACACAATATGTTTTGTAATAATACAATATATCGTAAATATTTATTTCATGATATTCATTGCATGTTCCAACCACATGCTCATAATGCACATTAAACAATAGAACCCACAATAATGTGAAGCAAACTAATCATTAAAGACTGGACTAGACTTTGGAATAAAGTAAGAAGTTAATTTTAAAATGATACAAAAACAGATCTTAATAAACATGTCAATAAGAAGCCCTGAAACCATTTTTTTGTAAAAAGCTTCAAAGATATCCAACTTAATGCTGCATTAATACAAAGTATAATAACATGTGCGGTACATTTATGGACGACCTCAAACCCTGTCACTGTCTATGACTCATGTGTTCTCTCCTCTCCCTTTGCTTTCAGACTCACATTAACTCTGTCATGCCCCATGGATCTGAAGAACTTCCCTATGGATGTTCAGACCTGCATCATGCAGCTGGAGAGCTGTAAGTGCAGTACAACTACCACAGATGTAATTGTGAGGTCCCTTATCAGCATGACCAGCCCTTTTCTCCAACCCTTGTTTCAAAATATGACTTTTCTACTATTTCTCCTTCTTTAAAATATTTAACACTACTGTTGTGAAACAAATTAGTCAGTAATTGCCACACAGAGGTGTAGTGGTAAATACACACAGGTAAACGGCGTATACACATTACTTGGTACTGGGATTTATTGTACTTGACTTAAAAATACCCACAGATGCATATCAGTGGTACTGCAGAGTACTACGGTATCTATATTACCATGTTTCATAATGTGTTGTGTTTGCACAAGCTTTGTTCCCTGACCTAGGCGCCGTTTACACGAGGAGAAAACGGCTTGTATCTGCATAGTTTCGCGTGCGTATAGCCCTATTATTTACACGAGGCCGATAGAAACTGACCCCACAAACGATAACGGGTCCCAAGGTGGATAGATTTGCAAACGAAACGCTCTGGGGGGTCAACCGAGTCCGTGTAATCACCTCTATACGAATATTTCCTGAAAAAATAACGATAGCCCCGCCTCTCCCCACCTCTCCTGCTCACTGCTGTAGCAACTATCAAAAATAGCTGTGTTAATTAAACGCACAAGGGGTTCTTGAATGAAATAATATTATAAAAGGCAAACCAGAATTGTTAACGCCCAATATACTCCTTAAACAAAATAAACAGAGTCAGATTTCATGCATTGATCCATTATATTGACAAAGGAGGATCTCACCCGGTGTTTGTAGAGAATATCTCTCTGAGCGAGTCCTCTCCACGGAGACATGCTCCTCCTCCTGTCAGTAGCTACTGCTAGTGCTACTGCTACTGACCATGCTACAGATATTAGTGCAAAAATATACAGCTCCTCTACCACAACCATCAGCAACAAGTGGACATGGAGAATTACATGAACTACATGTTGCTAAATCCACGGCGGGGCGTAAACAGAAGGGTAGCCATGGCAACATTGCTGCGGGGCTGCTGCGGAGTCTTCTTCACTGCTTTTGGTGTATTTTGTGGCGGAAGTTACAGCGCCACTTACAGTCCCGGCATATGTACTACAGCGTTTCCAGCGGTCTCGTTTGAACAGACACGTTGAAACAAATGCATGTGAACGGAACACTTTTTTGAATACGCATACTGTGCATAAACGCAAACGGTCCCGTGTGAGCGGGGCCCTAGCCTTTAAGGCAGAGCCTCCTTACAGCAACATAGCCCAGTAACACAGCACCAGCCATGGGGGGGAGTGCTGTGTGAAGGACAAACTCAAAAACAATTGTCCTTTCCCTCATTCAATGGAATGATGAGCCCGTTAGAACTTTAGTAGCTGGCTAATCTGGCACACACACAGCAAAATCTGAAGCAAAGAGCTATGTATGTATGAAGCCCATCTGAACGCTCTGATCCAGAACAAGGGTCTCCGTTCTCACTCGCTGTTACTTTCTTTATTCTTCACCATTGCCTCCTCCTCTGGTTTGTTATTCATCTCGTTATTCATGGATCATAGTCGAGTCTTAACCACTCGATGACGCATATGCAGTCTATATGGGTTTGATGACAGGAGCTTCTATCTGTGAGCAGCAGGCATGATTGAATTGCTTTTAAAAATAAAGCTTCTCACATCAATTTCCTACGAATCAACAATGTCAATCACACATTGTTGATTAATAACTTATCATCACTCCAGCACTCCTGCTTCAGTTTATAATTCATCTTAGTTGCGATGGCTTCTCCTGTTCCTGCCGTCAGTATCTCCTCTACCTCACTGATGTGTCTGCTGGGATCTGTCTCTTAGCCCACAGTCCCTGTGGGTAAAGATCAGCAAGCTAAAGCCACAGAGACAGATGTGTGCACGCCACTGAGTGTTGAGCACGCTGCTTGGACTCATACAGGGAGCAGAGCTTGTACCACCTACACAGACAGCACACTGCAATGAACATCTCTGACACTAATTTACAGTTAAGTACATATGTGTGGATAAAGATGTGCAAACAATTACACATATACTACTACAAATGTTTTTCCCTGTTATCCCTCATTTTATTTTGCTGTGTACCTCACGTCCCCAGCCCCCCCATTTGTATTCATCCATACATCTTATTCGATTAGTATCCTCCTCTTCCCCCTCGTGGATACAGTATTAAAGTAGACACATTGCCGTCTCTTTTTAAAGAAACACAAAGTCATGTTTAATAATGTTGATAGGTTATGATGACTAATTCATCCTTGGTCCCATCAGGAGCGTAGTGTGGCCCCAGGGGACACATTATTTGTCTTCATTGGTGGTTTATTCTGTTCCGGCCCACTGGCCACAGGCATTCCCGTACAGAGATCCAGCTTTATTTTTTTATTTATATATGTATATATAGTGGATTATTTGTATTACTGTGTTGCTGCTGTCTCTGAAGAAACATAAAGACACACATACAGGCAGAGGGAGGGAGGGAGGACCAGAGGAAAGGATTCCAGTCATCACATGATGCTTGTTTCAATGTAACACTACACACAGCATATACTGGCGCTATGAAGTGATGTGCAGATTGTTCCTGCTCAGGTTGTCTCCTTTGTATACGTTACATGCTTTTTTATTTGTCACCAGACTGTAGTAGTAGCAGTAGAAAGAGGAGTGTTTGAATGGCTGCAGCTGGGGTTGTGCTGTGAGTCGACTTTCAGAGACACTGTTCCCACCAGGGGCAACTGTGAGACTTAAAAAGCAGAAGCTTGTGTGGAAGGCTGGGGGCAGGGTCTCCTCTGCTTACTCTCTTGTTTGAAAATGGTATGCATGTTAAAAAAAAAGAAGAAAAAAAAGCCTTTTCACACACTTTTAGCTGAAAATGTTATGTGTGTGGCTGTAGGCTTGTACCAGCTGCTTTCTGGTCTGGCCAAAGAGCCCTACAGTTCACTGACTCATTTAAATGGAGCTCTCAGTCAGCTCCTCATACAGCTGTTTGTGAACTTTATTTCTCTTCATTCTTTTTCTCATGTGCAAGCTTCCCCAAGTATGGTCAGTGTGGTCAGAAGATGAATAAGAACAATTTACAGTGAAGGAAATAATAATTTTATCCCTTGCAGATTTTGTAAGTAACTTACAAAGAAATAAACAGTCTGTAATTGTAATGGTAGGTTTATATACAAAGTGAGAGTAAGAATATCAAAAAGAAAATCCAGAAACTGACATTATATGAAAGATACAAATTGATTTGCATTTAACTGGGAAATAAGTATTTGATCCCCTTGCATGTGTTAGTACTTGGTGGAGAAACCCTTGTTGGACACACAGAGGTCAGACTCTTCTTGTAGCTGGTCTCCAGGTCTGTGCACATCTCAGGAAGGATGTTGGTCCACTCCTCTCTGAAGACCCTCTCCAAACCCTTCAGGTTTTCAGGCTGATGCTTGGCCTCTGGAAGCTTCAGCTCCCTCCACACATTTTCTCTGGGTTTAAGGTCCGGAGACTGGCTAGGCCCCTCCCTCACCTAAATGTGCTTCTTCTTTAGCCCCTCCTGTGTTGCCTTGGCCGTATTTTCAGGGTCATTGTCCTGCTGGAAGACCCCTCCATGACCCATGTTCAGAGTCCTGGCTGAGGGAAGGAGGCTATCGGCCAAGATGTTACGTTACATGTCCCCGTACATCCTCTCCTCGGTGCAGGGAAGTGGTCCTGTCCCTTAGCAGAGAAACACCCCCAAAGCAGAATGTTTCCACCTCCATGCCTGACGGGGGCGGGGGGATGGTGTTCTGGGGTTATAGTCAGCATTTCTCTTCCTCCAAACACGGCGTGTCGAGTTGATGCCAAAGATCTCAATGTTGGTCTCATCTGACCACAACACCTTCTCCCAAGCCTCCTCTGAATCATTCAGAGGTTCATTGTCAAACTTCCGACGGCCTCTCATGTTCTTCTTGAGCAGGGGGGCCTTCAGGCACTGCAGGATTTGATCCATTATGGTGTAGTGTGTTACCAATAGTTTTCTTGGTGACTGTGGTCCCAGCTGCCTTGAGATCATTAACTGTTAAGCCAGAGAGGACCCTAATCCGGGTCTGGCCGGTAGTTTTTTCACGAAACTGTGTCTCAGGGCTTCTTAATATTTAAAAACCTATTACGCACCGCCCCCCCGGTACCGGGCGGATAAACGCGTCATTTGCAGGAAACAACGTCTAAGGAATCTTAATATTTAATAAACTATGAATGTTTTATATCCATGTAACGGGAAGAAACTCAGCTAACTGATCTTTTAAAACAAATGTTTTTTTTAAAAACCACAATGCTAACACTCAGCTTCTGAATTATCCACGAGCGAAAAAATGTAACCTAAAACGGCACCTAAACTCACTAATAACTCCCTTATTACTTATCCTAGATGCACAGCCAACCCATCGATTAGCATCTCCTGGAGACACAGAATCTGTGTAAAAAACCTCAACACTCAGTGATAAACATTTGCGACGCTATAAACGAAAGCGTACATCAGAACATGTGGAGCTAAGTAGCTAGAAACGCTAACATGGCTTACCTTGGTCAAAACTGGTCTTCAATGGCATTACAACGATAAAAAAACGATGCTGCAGTTAATCCATAGGTTAATCCAATGTGTCTGTGTCCTCTTTGAAATGATTTCTGATAATCCATAAGCAATAAAACTGCTTTTTCGTTTCCAAATGTCAGAGCTAGAGATAGGTCCACTCTGATGCTAAATTACATGCGCGAAGCCCCCACCTCTTCTCTTCACAACGTGTGTGTGTGGGGGACTCCCCCTTCGATTATATTGGCTCTAACGGTCAGAAAGAGGTGTCAACCATCCAAATCGACCAAGGGGGGCCAGAGATATGGAAAAAAAACATTTTCACCCAAATCACCTCAGAGGTGGAGTGGTTTTGGCTAAACCTCTCTAAAAAGGTCAAATGTCACTTGTTTTGCATCAATCTTGATACAGGGTACTTATTATATGTTGTACTTTGGATTCCTAAAGCTTTTAGTCTAC